GCCAGAAACGCTTCCGGCTCAACCGGCAGCGCCTCCAGCGTCATCAACTACAGCACAGCCAGTGACGCTTCCTCCGGCCGCTGAGCCAGAGATCGCTCCGGCGCCCGCGAGCGGACACCAGCTCGCTGGACTACCCAGCCCCGTGGCGAACTCTCGTCCGGCGCGTAACCGGCGTCCACCCGATCGCCTGAACTTGTAAGCGCTGGAAACAGCTGGAAGGGAGGTGTTGTAGTATCGCAGCTAATTAGTGCCTACTGTTGTGTTGCAGCTAATTAGTGCTTACGTCACAAGCTTTCGCTTGTTGTGTTTTCAGTCCTGTCCTTGCACAAAGTTGTTGTTGTTTACCACGTGGCCATGCCGTGAACTAAGCCCAGTGTCTAAAGCCTAGACAAATACAGACGTGGATGCAACAATTTCAACATAAATAATATACAAGTTGATGTACTTATTGGGCAGTAAAAGTTTCTAGTGATGTGCGATTACATTAAAAGATGAATGATCCGAGTAATCGTGCCATTTTTTTCATCGCAATGATTGTGTTCTATATGAAGCAAACGGATGGAAATATAAATGCATAAATGAAGATAACCACAACTAAAAAAGTGTTCTGCGTAGGTGCAAATCACGTATTTAATAAATTCATTAAGTTCATTGCTTCGACATGAGTGCCATGGCCCAGGGCCTCGGCTAAGGAATTTTGACTGGTGGGCCACTTGGGCAGCGACATGGACTGACCTTCGTAGCCATAGCCCCCCCCCCCCATTTTCGATTTCTCCCCAGATTTCGGCCACTTTATTCTGCAAAAAACGTCAGGATGGCATTAAAAAATGTAAAAAAAAACGGGGCTCGACCCCCCCCCCCCCCGACTCTTCAGAGAGAGAAGAGAGAGTAGGGACCCACAACCCTCTCAGTGGTGATACTCCGGCGGTGCACATAAAATCGCACAAGTATGCACAAAATATTGACGCAGATTATAAAACTTTGGACGATAACTTACGGCCGGTCGGATGTTAAAAATCAGCGAGCCCTGAATGGATCGCTCGCCGACTAGTCGGAGATTCGGAAGCGGTCGGACGGGATCGGGCGTTGTCGGGTGGATCGGGAGGAATTGTGAACAGCACAAGTGCAAGCAACTTTATATATAAAGTGGGTTGTAGCAGGAACCCCAAAAAGGGGTTGTAGCAGGAACCCCAAAAGGGGGTTGTAGCAGGAACCCCAAAAGGGGGTTGTAGCAGCAACCCCAACATCTCTGAAAATGATCATTAAAGGGACCCTCCCACCTTCAAAAATGTTAATGAATTGGCATGAAAGTGATGTCGCTCAGTTCAGAAAGAGCGAAAACGAATATCTACCAAATTTCATCGAAAAATATTCACCGGTTTTCAAGATATTAAACTTTTATAATTGTTTACTTTTTGGGATCTCCGCTGTTCCTAGCGACTTTATTTGAAAGTGCGGCATTTGTTGCGCGCAAAGCAGCATATACCACCGCGTGCTACCAAACATTTTAGTAAAAAATTTAAAAATCGTTAGATCTCCGCTGACGTCACAAATTCTAAGGGGGCACACCAATGCATTAGCCCCTTAGAATCCGAAAACAGCAAGTTTGAAATTCCATATCTCCGAATTAAAGCATTTTTCGATGTTGTGAGTGGCCAAACCGGTATTTTCAGGCCATGGCCACCAATTTGGCTATCTCAACTCAAAACTAATGTTAAGGTGGGAGGGTCCCTTTAAGCCTATTGGTGTCGCATGGAAAAGAATTCACTCAAAAGCCCAAGCGCACTGCGCAACCCTAATATTTTCTTTAAACAAACTAAGTTATGTACACTTCTGGTGAACAGTGTCCCAAACTTCAGATTTCTCTTGGGTGTCTGAGTGGAAAATTCTAGCCACCCAAAATGTGAGAGTGGAAATTGTGAGATGACGTTTTTTCGTACTCCAGCGTAGATGGGTAGCCATTCGGCTTCCACGGTTGACATTGATGACATCAGTCATCTCTTGCAAGCTCGTTAAAGATTTGGGCTGTACGGGGACTCGAACCCCGGGCCTTTGGATTAGCACTCCTATGCTCTACCTCTGAGCTATACAGACCAATTACTTCAACCGGCTTTGTGCCAAGTTTTATGCGAATCATTCTTAGGTGTTGTTTTTTATCCGCTGGGACTGAGAGCGTGAGATGATGTTTCGAAAAAACATCATCTCACGCTCTCAGTCCCAGCGGATAAAAAACAACACCTAAGAGTGAGAGTGGAAAATTATCCATTCTTATTCTTGAGTGTCATCTTCAGCCCAAATGAGAAATTTTTGGAACGCTGACTGTGAACGGTTCGAAATTCGTCCAACTGGTCAGATGTGCGACTGCAAGCATCATACCGTTCGTGAAGACGCATAATATCGCTTGCAGACTTCAATCGGCTGGAAGTTGCCGACACTACCTCTAGTTTGACTCTGGCTTATATCGTGTCTATCGGCGAGCCGTCTGAGATCGCTCGTAGGCTTATCCCCGACCGTCTGAACTGGTCTGTTCTTTATTCGTAGTTTTTCTTGTAACCGACTGGTCTGCGGCAGATGCTTATGTCATATGTGACTGTAACCACTCGATCGGAAAGCTTGCAAGAACTCTCGCAGACCTCGATCGGCTGGAAGCCGCCGACACTATCTGTAATTGACAGAGGCAAACGTCTTTCACGATTATTGCATAAAGTTTAAAGCCTCGGTCACACTTAAACGGATTGGACCAACGGACGAGAAACGGACGAGAACTGTCAGCGTCCGGTGATGTCCGTTTGTTTCCGTTGGACGTCCGTTTGTCATATCCTTTAATATCCGTTCCATGTCCGGTGGTGTCCGGTTGAGCACACCGGACACCACCGGACATGGAACAGATATTAACGGATGAGAAACGGACGTCCAACGGAAACGAACGGACATCCCCCGGACATCAACGGACGCCGTCCGTTTCTCGTCCTTTGGTCCAATCCGGTGAAGTGTGACCGGGGCTTAACCTACGGCTGTCTCAAGAAACCGGGAATGGTGATGGTATTAGGCGGGCAACGACGATCAAGTTCTTACTTTTAATAAATGCAACAATGTAGTAGGGCCTCTGTCTCTGTCTGTATCACAAAGTTACCTATGTCGTGATGTAAAATGTGAAAACTTCGATTTTTCAGAAAATTACTGGTGGGCCAAATCTTTGAGGCTGGTGGGCCATTTCGGGTCACTGGTGGGCCATTTGGCCCACCAGTTAACATGTTAGCCGAGGCCCTGCCATGGCCACCAATTTACAAAGCGTTCGTTTAGATGCGCTTTATTTATCAACGCAATCAGTAATCACACTTAACTATTTCGTTGCTCTCATTTTAGGACCTACATAAATGTGATGATGCAGATGCAACATTAAAAAAGCTGTTTTTTGAAGAGATTCAAAACAACAAATATTTCACAGCTAGATAGCTCAGTTTTACAGCCATCCAAACAAGCGGAATAATAACCGATTAAACTCTTCCGACTCGGATGTCCCGCAGCCTGAGATCCACCTCTGTGGAGTAATCAGCGAGATTCGATGCATTCCTGTTTAAAGGGACCCTCCCACCTTCAAAAAAGTTAATGAATTGGCATGAATGTGATGTCGCTCGGTTCAGAAAGAGCGAAAACCAATATCTACCAAATTTCATCGAAAAATATTCACCGGTTTTCAAGATATTAGACTTTTACTTTTGTTTACTTTTTGGGCTCTCCGCTGTTCCTAGCGACTTTATTTAAAAGTGCGGCATTTGTTGCGCGCAAAGCAGCATATACCACCGCGTGCTACAAAACGTTTTAGTCAAACATTTAAAAATCGTTAGATATCTGCGATGACGTCACACATTCAGAGGGGTATTCTTATGCATTAGCCCCTCTGAATCAAAATGCTGCAATTTTGAAATTCAATGTTTCCGATTTAAGGCATTTCTCGATGTTGTGAGTGCCGAAACCGGTAATTGTGAGCCAGGGACCCCATTTTGGCTATCTCAACTCAAATCTAATGTTAAGGTGGGAGGGTCCCTTTAACAGAACGAATCAGCTCGTGGCAGCGGGGATAGTTGTTTACTGATCGAACCGACAACTTCAGCACGCGACCGTATCAAAGCGAGGCCAGCAGAGTTCGTCTCCACTGCGTCTGCCCAAACCGCGTAGTTGCATGCTACAACTGGCATCAGAATCGATATGCGTAACAACTAGAAGGAGGGAACGGGTATTGGGGATGTTTGCTTGCCAAATATTGAGAAAAGACGCAACAAATGGAGAAATTAGTGAAATGGATTTCGAACATTCGCGTTTGGGGAACAGAGGGCATCTACAGCGAGGCATCTACATTCTACAGCATTACTACGAAAAATGTTGTCTTTTGACGCAATATGGGGCCATCGACCACCAATCACCATGTTTGCTCATCATATCTATTATCTTCCTTGAGCCGCCATATCTTCTTCATATCTTACGATGTTTTCCAATCGCGGAATCCAACTACCAAACGTCGTGCTGTTTTCATTCAAGATTGTCTCTGTGTGAAATTGAAAAAAATTGACCGTCTCTTCTCTGCCCTGGGTCTGGAAACTGACCTTTAACCGTGTTCTGGGGAAGTGCACGACCTGATACGTGTGCAGGAGATAAGGGCTGCAGACTGACCTACCACGACATGGCATGGAGCAGTGAATGCAACTGTCTGTGTTTATACAGCGAGGGCTGCGGACTGACCTGCCGACGTGCCCCGAGGCAGTGCATGTCCCGACCCTTGTGTAGGGTAGATGACTGACCTGCCGACGTGCCCTGGGGCAGTGCCTGTCCCACCCTTGTGTAGGGTAGATTAGATGACTGACCTGCCGACGTGCCCTGAGGCAGTGAATGACACTGGACCCGACCGTTCTTACGGGAGGGAAGGTCTGCGGACTAACCTGCCGTCGTGCCCTGGGCAGTGGTGACCTGACCTGTGTGCGTGGGTACGTTTAGGGACTGACCTGCCGACGTGCCCTGGGGCAATGCCTGTCCGGCGCCGAGGAGGCAGCAGATGACCAGCGCCCCCGCCAGCGGCGCCAGCGGCCGGGGCGGCGCACAGTCCCGGGAGGCCATGCCTGCTGACCGGTCAGCGGGCCATGGCACCTGCTCAGCCAGGCGGCAGCGACGACGCCGAGCTCGCGACTCGCCACCGGCGCCGGCCGCGCTCCACGGTGACGCGCTGCGCCGACGGGACCGACGGGACCGACGGCGACGGACGGCCGACGGGGACTGGCGCGACGGCAGACGTCCGGCCCGGGCGCCGTCGGGACCGACGCGCCCCCGACGACGGCACCGGCGGCGGCGGTGCACGGGCGGGGTGGAGGTGGGGTATGTTATGAGGACAGGGTACGGTACAGGGCAGGGCACCGACGTCCGACACCGGCACCCAGCACAGGGTAGGGCACAGCCGCACAACATGTCAGTCAGGCATTAAAGCATGCAAATTATGAAGTTATGACCTGCTTATCGATGCATTAGCATGAACTGTGCATGCTCAATGTAATTGTTGCCTTGAGTTGTCTTAATTGTGATTTTGAATAAATGGTTTTGATAAAAGCCGCTCCGTGATAAGATAAGAACAACGAACAAGATTAACTGATTTCCCCGTGCTTCTCATTTTTAATGCATCGCACCATCTTGACCTTGTCAGAATAGCAGCCACAGTGAAGTCTCATCAGGCTGAAACCTCGGGGACATGTGCCGTCTAATCCGTGAGCTGAATGCGAGGGCACGCGACACGTCAATCCCCATTAAGCGGAGCAGCTGCCCCCGTGGCTGCGCCATATAGCGCGGTCGGTGCAACACCATCCAAATCCCAGCTCATTAGTGTGGCTGTGGCAGCCGGCTGCTAAGGAGGAACACTGCGTGTAACGATGGGACATCGATCGCATAATGAGGCGGCAGCGGATAGGGAGGCCCTCCACGGGTCTAGAATCAGGCCACGACACGCATTTGCCACGAGAAATGTGCTGGCTAATTTAGGGGGGTTTGCAGAGGATTAGGGCTTGAAGTCATAGTGCGGAGGTGTTGTTTTTATCCATGGAGCCTCAGAGATAGGCTTGCCATGCCTACCGCTCATGTGTGCTCAGACGAAAGCGAATGGCTGTTGCAGAATGAACCATGAGCCGAGCAGGTCAGAGGAGGCTCTTGGCCAATTGGTGGTGGCGTGGGGAATCCCGCAAAGCGAAATGCGTAATTATCGCCTCGTCAAGACAGGTTTTAGCGTTAAAGCCGCGAGAAACTACTTGTGTCGCAATGGCCTTCACCATTCTCGAGATTCTTCAGTGAACTTACACTGAACAGGTAGGACTCGCCGAGCTACTCGGACACTTGTGCACCTCGGATAAATTCAAAACACTCATTGTGAAGGTAGGTAAAAGGTGCACACCGAGTCAAAAGTTACAAATTAATATATTGATCTTGATAGTGTTTTTGTTAGAATCGATTTTAAGCATTTCACAAGTTTCGAAGAGCTCTTCAGTCTCTAGGTCAAGCATAAATTCATGCAGCTATTTTAATCCTTTCCTTATGTTCTGACTTTGGTTCCTAGCTCCAACTGTGTTCGAAAATCCAGTCCAGCTGCAGAGGGAATGTGCACATTTTAACAATAACGCTGTTCGGAGAAATGACGTCACACAAGCTGGACCGGTATTTGCGCAAGGATCGTGATGGAAAAAAGGCCATATTACAACGGTTTTGGTCGTTCACCATGGGTGGAGAACCTGCCCCGGCCACCCCGGCCGTGGCCGGGGTAACTTTCAGCCGACCCCGACGTGGCCGGGGTAACTTTTTCCACTTTTGTAAATCCTAAAAGCTGTCTCCATACGAAAAAAGCTGCCATATACATATAAAAGCGTCTCTCATTATTCTTATCTACCTTGTGTTCTTGAAAATTTACTTTATTTTCATTTTGGAGCTTCTATGCTTTTAAGTCTTTTCATCGCGGAGCCCGACATGTTTCATCAAACAGAAGTAAATCATATTTAAGGGCCGTTATCGTAAGATGGCACTGTAATAACATCACAAGACAGGACGAGGGTAATATCAGTGAGATAGAAGGAGAGCTGCTGGGGCTCAAGGCTCCCCCAACTTAACCCTATTAGTGGCAGGGGGGTTGTTTTTATCCACCCCTCAGGTTTTTCGGGAATATCTCCGAAACCGCTGAAGCTACGATGCTGAAATTTTCTGACTTTTCCTAAAACTAAATTGGGCACATTCCCTGAAAATTTCAAGATCATAACTTTACCAGGGGCGGCTCCAGAGCACTGGGAATTGGGGGTCCTATTCGTGAAGCGAGTCATTTGGGCGAAGATCACGATGCTGCACCAGTTTTACGAACAGTGAATGAAAGGTATCATGTGATAACATATACAAAGTTATTGTGCATCCTCTTTTGACACGTTTTTGCTATAATAGGCGGATCCAGGCGTCCAAAAAGGGGGGTTATGCTTTATCTCCCAACATAGGTGCCCTGACGCCGCCTATGCATGACCAATACAATTGTAGTCGTTCTCTCATAAGAAAATTGTAACATAACAAGACCATTACCACCCTTTTTAGAAACAGTACCAACAAAAACCTTATTTACGATACTTTTTGTGTACCCCAATCTCAATGATCTGTATCCGCCTATGATTTTTGAAAATGCATATTTTTAGGATCCATGTGAATTCCTGGTTCATTCTCTATCGATCGGCAAAAGTTGCGTTAAGATTGGTTCAGAAACCTGTCCGTGATAAACAGTCTAAAATGTATCTGCAATTTGCCCGTTTTTACCCCCCTCTCTATTGACATTTTTTAATTTTTATTTTTTAGAAATGTAGATCACGTTGAGCGAAATCGAATGCCGTTTGAATTTTGAAAATCGGCCCGTTAGATCTCGAGATATCAAGGGGGGGGGGGTCGTAAACAGCCCCCCCCCCCGCCACTAATAGGGGTAGCCAGGAGCTTGCCACTAATAGGGTTAACCCGCGCCATGGTGGTGGCCTTATCGTAACACGTTGAGTCGAGAGGTGGGCTTTTCACGCTCCTTCTAACTCGGCTATTGGGCTACGACTCGAGGCGAAAAGCGGAACGACGTTTGAAAGAGCGACAAACGTGATCAGAGAAATCTGGTCATGTTTTAGGCAAGCTCACTAATAAAATCACCATAGATCATCAAAGCCAAATTTCTCTGATTTTAACGTTCTCCGACAACTTTTCTCACTGTTCATCAACATAACGGAGCTTAAACACTGCAAACAAAACATTCGATTACTCGTTTAAGGCTCGGTCGCGAATACCTAATATTTCAGGTGCGAGCTCAAATCAATAAGAGGGTCAAAACGGTCAAATTTGACATTTTGTTTTGTGTGGGAAGGTTGCAACTTCCACGGAATAAGCTTTGCAAAGGGCATGATGGCATTTTTAGCACGATCATCCAGCAAATTTGACCTGATGACCTGACCTAGCACTAGGTGACATGCGTCCGAAATTTTAAGGCGTGTTGCAAAATTGTTGTTACAATTACGAAATCTTCCGCACCTGCGTGCAGCAGTTTTCCCTAAAAACGTACAAACGGCAGACATCCATTATTCTATGCCACATAATAGGGGTTTGTTGATAACCGTTGACAAATATTTGAGCATCATCGTCTTTCTGACTTTCGGTCGCCGGCCGGGGTAACTTTTTCAAACATTCTCCACCCGTGTGACGTTCACAAATCTAAAAAACAAAAGGATTCCGAACGACTTTATTTTATTGATTTCTTGCTAGGGAAATGGAGAAACAGGAAGCCAATTATCTTATTTCCAAGAAAAATAAGATAAAAAAGTAGAAAAAAAGTAGAAGAAAATAATTAACGCGTAAAATACCTAAAATACCCAGATCTGGTTTCTGATAAGCTCGCAATTACGGTCGTTTTAACATTTCAATAACATCATCAAGGCCCTTTGACTACAGGCTACATACAAACATCTTCGACATCTCCCCCTCCTTCCCTCTCCCTCCAGCTAACTGGGCCTCTTCTATTCTCCAAACCCAGCCTTCCAGCCGCCGCCAACCGCTTTACGCCAATCCCGCCCACCCCACCTCACCTCGGCGGGTCCCGCGCGGGAGGCCGCGCCGCGCCGCGCCGCGACCGTCCACAGTTCGCCTCGCGCGCCGTGACTGTCCACACCTCTGACCATGTCGCTCCGCGTGCCGCTGCTCCTGTTGACCGTCTGTGTACCGGCTCTGTACGCCTTCCCCGATGGAGCTCCGGCCGAGGCGTGTCTCAGAAACATGGAGCCCAACCACAGCGGGGCCAAGAGCAGGAACCCGCTGGACTCTCCGTTCGCTGTGTTCCGACACACGTCGCCCGGAAGGGTCACAGGTGAGCTTCAGAAGGGTTGCAGCCTGCAGGTGAGCGTTATGACTTATGAGGGTCATAAGTGAGCGTGAAAAGGGTCACAGGTGAGCGTGAGACGGGTCACAGGTGAGCGTGACAAGGGTGACAGGTGAGCGTAAGAACGATTATGGGTTAGGTCACAACTGACCAATAAAACGCTGAAGCAGCAAACAAGGCTCAGATGTAGGCCAGGCCTACGACGTGGAAGAGGCGACAGCATCACATTGTACTGCTGATTCCCAGTCGCTGTATTTGAGTGAAAAATAACATACACAACCATACCGCGATGTAATTGTCTGCTTTTACGTTTACTCGAGAAAAAAGAACGAGAAACTCGACGAAAAATGCGCATAAATCTCTAAGCATTTGCCATGTTTTGCCGAATTTGAAATTAATTAAATTAGTTTAATGCAAGGCTTGGCTAATGAGAGATTCATGAAAAGGGGATAAGTAATGATCTAGTAAAAGGGCGCACCTTTCAATTGATTGTATTTGCCGTGAAAAAACAATGCTCCATGTAAATTTATAATCTATTTTACATCAATAATAGCATGCAGCTTTCTCGTTTTTTTAGGATTTCAGCATGATTTTAAAACACAGTTTCGCATATTTCCCATCCGGCACCAATAAAAAACATGAGATGATTTGTTTACTGGTGCACTATGGTTACAGTTTCTTATTTGTTGGTACATTTCACGTACTTAACCCTCGCCCATGTAGGGGGGGGTTGGTGCAACCCCCCCTGAGGTTTTTCGGAAATAGTGCAAAAACGGCGGCGCGCAGCGCCGCCAAATTTTGGGTACCTTATGGGGCAAACCTTGCGCATCTTTTGATAAAAAAAATTTCACCGGGTCATGT